GGGGGGGGGGGGATTAATTCTCTGATACGGGATTGAAAAGCGAATCGGAAACGTTAAGCTTGCTCGAAGCATTCGATCTCGGAGATGGTTATAACGAAAAGTTAAGGGGAAGTTGGAAATGAAGTTTCGCTGCCGGGCTGACAGCCTTGTCTGCCGTAATTTTAAACCTATTAGATGTACTTGCTTAGCTCTCCCCGTGTTATTCATCGCCAATTGAAATTCTGAAATTTCCTACGGTCGCTTAAAATCTCGATCGAATCCATTACGGATGTACAATTTGGAGAAGGATTACGAATCATTTCATTTATACAGAGTAGGTGTTCTAATTATTAATTTCATATAGGAATTACACGAGGTCAAAATTAAGGGAAAAGATGGCAAAGGGTGCTGTATATACATATATAATTTTATATAAAATTTAAAGCAATGCAAATATGGTATAATTATATATGTATATATATATATATGTATAATTTGTAGTTTCGTAAGTTTGCACGTGCATAAATTATGCTAGTAAGTATTCGAATGCATGTTAAAACTTTGCTTAGATCCGTGGTGTTTTTTATAATTATATTTTAACAATATTTTATAATTATTCATACACATATTCCCTTAATTCTACGCGAAAGCTTGCGCTTGTATAATTTATACACGCATTCGTCGCTGTAGTCTATGTTTAAAATTAGTTAAGGTTAAAGAGACGCAAGAGCTCGCATATTACACGTATGGACGATGCTAGAAATGTACGAGCAAAATTCTCGTACCAGTTTAATCTGTCCTTTAAACGAAGAATTATATACAATTGTATAATTTTCCAAAAGAAAAGTAATCTTTAAGGAAAGTTTCCATTTTTTTTTTCCTCTCTCCTCTAAGATTCGACTTAAATCATCGGTCAATTTTTTCCTTTTTTTTTTTATCACCTGTTCTTTTTTCCTTACGTCGTAAACGAATTAACGAGCGAGCGTGTGTACGAGGCACACGCTTTTAATTACAGAAGTTCCTCGCGTGTCGAAACTTTACGATTTTCTCGATCTTTCCTCCCGAAGTAATTGCCTCGTATTTTTCTTGTCACTTTCATCCCTTCTTTCTATGATTATTACCATTATACCTTTCTAATAGCGAAGAGAAGAGGGGAAAAAAAAAGAAATGAATCAAATTATGCGTTACATTCGAGCGATATGTAAAAAACAACGGCAAAGTTTCCGTGGAAACGATTTACGACTTCCAAGCACGATGCATCACTTGTTTAGCGCGAAAAGCGGACACTTTTGATGGGAAAAAGATCGAAAGAATTTCCGAGTACGTCACATATGTTCCATGAACTTCATATCATGGTTATTAGACTGCGAAATTTTCATGCAAATACATATATATATATATTTCAAATTACATACCTTTTGCATATTTCACATAAATGATAAACGAAGATCCGATTTATTTGAAATGGATTTTTTAAATTAGATTTAGAATCTTCAGTTAATAATAAGCAAAAAATTTTTCTAGAAATACAATAGCATATCTATCTATTGTATCTCAAAATTCTGTTGAATTCTTAAATTGAAATTAGAAAGAATTTAAATCAAAGGTAGTAACAACGAATGAACGATGGTTATCTCTTTCATTTATCTCGATACGATCTCCAGTTCTCGAGATATGGTCGTATAAAAGGTAATCTTTTAATCGTTTATTATTTCTATTCTCGTTGTCTATTCGGATCGTCGTCTCTACCAACCTATCCCAAACTCCAGACAGACGCGGTTCCTGAAAATACACGCTTCCTGGAAAAATCCAGGTCACTCGGTCGCGAGCCCATCCATAATTTCTGCCCTGTATTAAGCGCTATAAATAATAAAACTTATATCTCGGCAACCAGTTGAAATAAATCAAAAAGCGATTTCAATGACTTTTTAATTTCTTCTCGCGCTTTTCACGCGAAAATTTAAACTTCTTTCTTTCTTTCTTTCTTTTTTTATATAACTTCAAATGCAATGATTCAACATCATAATATAAAACATATATAAATAAACATAAGTCTCGTCGAATATTTTTTTATTACCCAATTTAACTAGATAAAAATCTAGTCAATCTCTCGAGAATCCTCGCGAAACGAGAAACGATTAAAACGAGGTTTTAAGGAAACGCAAGGAGGCATAATCGTTACAGGGTCGTTAAAAAAAACAGTAAAAACGAACGTGAAATCGTCATCGGCGCGGTGAGAATAGGACGAGTTCCCGCGAACGTTCGATCAACGCAGGATGCCTCCGTTGCATGCAACCCCTGGTAAGTAATTTCTTCGTGGAAACGGCGAACCTCTCATCGTTCATAACTGACGTACGTACGTACGTTTTCTTCGCGCCCTTCAAGTATGCGCAAAAGCAACTCGTTTCCTCCGCGAACGACTTCCTCTTACGGTTGAAAAAACATTTACGTACGAGATATACGTTGGCGCCACCTAGGTTCGGGGAAACACCCGTACAACAGGCGAAGTTTTCGGGGCCAAAATTAATTAGACGTTTACACGGCTCGCTGACGTGGCGTGGAAAGTTACGGCGGCGAGTTATTAATAAAACGAGCACTTGTAATAATTAACTCGCGATTTGTTACGGATAAACTGCGTTTAAATCGTGATTAAATTGCGGCGCGTTGATGGGGGGGAAAAAGTTGGGGAAGGAAGGAAGGAAGGGGGAGGAAGGGGAGAATTCGACGAATCGAAAAATTTAATTAATATCGGGCGAGGCAAGAATGTTACGATAGCTTACCTTCGAAAAGTGTTGTTGCTATGGAATAAATAAAACGTATGCGCAACACACTTTCCACGCAGGTGCAGCTGCGAACGAATGCAGCTCGGACAAATTCTTCGAATTTGATGTGCAGTGAATCACGTTTGTAATTGCGCGTTTCTTTTTACATTCGATTCAATCGCGATGAATCCACGAATTATTTCCGGGAACATTATCAAACGTTTCTCCTCCCCCCTATTAAGCGGAGAGGGAGTTGGTTATTAATTCATTAACGAGTGAACATATTTTTTTTCACTTTTCTTGCGTATTTCCTCTCCGTAAATACGATACAATTTATTACCGTTACTTAGTTGTATTAAACACGCTTTCACCGTGTTTTTTTCACACTCAGAGTTTCGAATAAAATCGTGCAAATTATTATTATTATTATTATTATTTTTTTCAAAATTCCTCGCGCGAAAGAAATTTTTTACCAAGAGTAGCTACTTTCTTCTCTCTTCTCTAACCTTCGCGAGTTCTATTCACTGGCATTTCTAAAAGAAAGAAAAAAAAAAAAAAAAAGAAAAAAGAAGTTGATTCCCCTTCTGCAAGGTTTACATGGCATGGAGTAGTAGAAAGACGGGCATACGCGGTGCAAGCAAAGTAGGAAAATTTTATTGAAAGATTGGAGGGGGGCGGAAGAGAAGAGTGGAGGAAAGTTAAATAGGAAGACGTTTTCCACTCTATATCTAACATACTTTTTTTCTTTTATTTCCAGGAATTCTCAATTCTGTTAATTGAACTGCCAAATACAATAAAAAGAGACCGACCGAGTGTACGCTTCTTTCAATTTTTTTTTATCCACGGTTTCTTTTAACCGTACGATATTTCTACGTCTCGTTTAGAGGTATTTCTGCCAGTTTGACGTAGCGTGCTCTCGAAGGGATTAAACGCGAGGAGATACAAAACGCGGTCCGGGATTCGCAATATCACGACGATCGGTGGAGCTGTTGTATTATTGTAAAAGCTTTCGAACGGAATTCATTCCTGTTATCTGCTTTACTTTACCCCGTTTTACCGGGATCTCGGCTCGCAGATTAAGAGAAAATTGGAACAAGAACCGAAAGACGATGATCGGGGACAGGTTTTTCTTTTATAGAGAGAGGGATGGCAGATTGAATAATTTCAATGTTATTATTACCGGACCGGAAATGACGATATGGAAACGAGAATGATGAAAAATATTCGAAAACGATATTTGGAAGTTAAAAAATACGCGTGTGAATATATGTTCATCCGTTGA